CCCACCCTGTGCACCCCCCGAAACATCAGTTAGTATTCCATTCAATGCAAATAGAATCAACAAATAAGACAGAAACAAAAAGAAAACAAGCACCGAACTCTCCAAGCCATAAATAAATTAAAAGAAAAAAATGCAAGAAATGAAATTGAAAATGAGAACAACAATTAAAGATATAAAATCTCACACTGAAAAAAAAAATGGGCACGCAACGTGCATCACTCGTAACAGAAAATGTAATGAACATGAAAAGTCGTGAACGATGCGAAGTACCTGACAGGCTGACACTAATATCACACATGCAAAATGTAACATGATACAATGTATCCTACTGCTAAGGCACTGGCACCACATGTCGAAAAAAATACAAGAAACAGTTGTCTACAAGTCGTGTCGTAGCTGTCGAGATACTGTACAGTCTGTAGTCAGTCTGCTGCAACCGACGACACCCTACGAACACCCTACTGGCACCAAAATCATACTCTACGAACACCCTACCGCTACCAAAATCATACACACCAACAAGTTAAGCACGCACACTACCACTGAGTGTCTGACAATACTGAGACAAGATGAGACGACTCAGACGACCAAAAAAACTAGGACCGCACAACATGACGACTTACAGTGCAAGTAGAGGAGAAGCGGAGTGTTGGCCTCATCGGTCAACGACCCTTCTTCCCCTTCCCGCTCTGTCTCCTCGTACCCCCTCGAGTGTCGGATGTCGACCTCTTCCTCCCTCGTGAGGATGAAGAAGTCCGCGCAGCGGAGCGTGTAGATGCACACGTCGGTGGGGGTCCTGGGGGAGGTGGGGGCTCATCGTAGTCGTCGTCGTCGTCACCATCGGAACCGCTCCTGCTCTCCTTCTCTCCCCCCTCCTCGCCCTCATAGTCCTCGCCCGCCTCCCGCACAACCGCATCCGTATCAGGATCATCCTCCTTGATGGTGACTGGGCCACCTCCCTTCCTCAACACAACAACCCTCGCACTAGCCTCTGCAACGGTCTGCTCAGGGCGGGATCCACGAGGCATCCCCAACCCCTCCGCCCCCGAACTCTCTCCAAGTGCAGCGCCTCCCTCTGCAGGCACGGGGCATGGACGAGGAGGCACTCCACGCTTGCGTGGAGTCTGCTCCTGCACGGCACGCGTCGCTGCTCTGAAAGCGTACTCCAAGGTCTCGGTGGACACTCCTCTGCCGCGACCTCGCTGAGGCTCACAACCTGATGTCGGTACCTCCCTCGCCGCGGTCGTTCTGGCGCCTCGGGGTCCCAAGCCCGGCTGAAGGCGTGCAGTGTGCTCCGTGATACGGCGGGTGGAATCCAAATCTATGTTTGTCCTCTCGAATATCGTCGTGTCATACACGTCCTGCTGAACTGCTGTCGTGTCACGAATCCTACATCTCCCAGGCGTGTGTGGGGATCGAGAGCCTCTGCCTGTGGGCGACGATGATGGATCACCTACAGGTGCTCTGGGAGGAGGGGGTGGCATGTCTCCTGTGCGTGGCGTTGTCTCCGTCACGCCACCCGAAACCCCTGGAACATGTCCCACAGTATGTCCTCCGGTGGAGGTAGACCCAGACCACACGGGCGACTCAAGACCCCATGGAACCGAAGGGATCGTCTGCCAGGTTGGATGCTCGAGCCTCCGGTCGAAGATCTGCCGGTCCAATCGAGTAACATCGAGCACAACCTCTCTCGCCAACTCCTCTGCATCCAAAGGACGACGGACCTCCAGCGGAGCAAAGTGGCTAGGAAGACGTGGGGGCACAACCACCGGCTCGGACCCCAAATCCGTGATAACGGGCGGTGGCACACCATGCACTGCCATCTGAACCGTCTGCGACTGCGGCCCTGAGCCAAGTGCAGGCCCGAGAACGGAACGATTGGACCCGTCGCTGTCTCCTGGACCACGCGCCATGCGTCTATAGCCCCCTCGACTCGCCGCTGTCCTGCCTGCACAGCCTCATCCACCGCCTGAGGCCGTCCCTCCACAGCAACGTCCGCTGCCTCTGCTCCATCCGGCATAGCCTCGGGTACCGGCTCTGCTGCCACTCCCTCCGCAACGTCCTCCCCCGCCACCACCCCACCCTGCACACAATCCCCCCCTATCTATCGACGTCTGGTCTCCTCTACGGCCCGTGCGAACGCCTAAGCACGCGGGTCACTCGATGCCAAAAGTCGAGCCCTCTCTCGCTCCATGATGTCGTGTGCTGCATCTGGAGACTCAGTCGTCGTCCTCTCTCTCGCGGTCTGCGTCAAAGTCTGTCCTGGCGCCTCGTCCCTCGATGGAGCTCGGTCCGTCGATGTCGCCCCGCCGCAACTAGGTGGAAGGCCCATCGACAAATCAAAGTCTAAGTGGGTCCCCATCTCCGAATCCGAAATCCCAAACCCCCTCGCCATACCCGGGGTCATACCCGCTATGATCGGATCGAGTTCCTCCATGAGGAGCTGTTGCTTGAGGTGCTCGTCATCGCCCCCACGCTGCACCTCGGCCTGTGCGGCTATCTCCTCCTCCACTGGTCCTGGCACCTCCCCCTCCACTGCAGTTGCCGACGGTGCCTCCTCCTCCTCCACTGCTGCTGCCACCTCAACCTCCACTACTGCTGCTCCTCCACCTGCTCCTCCTGCTGCCGCCACCTGCCCCTCCACTGTTCCACCTCCTCCTGCCGCTGGTGGATCCTCCTCCAGCACTGATGCTGCCATCTCCTCCAGCACTGATGTTGCTGCTGCTGCTGCTATCTCCTCCACCGCGGCTGCGATCGTCGCGTCCGGCATTGCCGCTGGTGCCACCGAACTCTCCACTGCTGCTGCCGACGGTGCCCCCTCCTCCTGCAATATCCCCGGGGAAGGTGATCGTAACCTCAGCTGGCGGACTGCCCCGCCTCTGTGGAGAAGTCCGCGCCGAGGCAAAGAGGACCCCAACTCCTCCCTGTCCGCCGTTGCCGTGGCCGGCTGAAGTGGCGAGACGGGCGATGGTGGTGCAGGACTCGAAGCAGGAGGTGGCGGCATGGACGACTCCCGCCTCGTCAGAGTGGGGGTCGTCGCCTGCGCCTCAGGGCCGCCCGTGGAAGCGACCTCCCCGAATGGGCCCTAAAACTCCTCCTCTCCCCCTAGCATCTCCCTCTCCGTCCGGTCCACCGCCCGTCGTGCAGTGTGTGCCCTCGTCTCCTCGGAGTCGGGATCGTCGTGCGTCTTGTCAATCTCGCGGGGAATGCGGAGCGCAGGGTCATCTGCCGCCTCGAGTACCGGCTTCTCGTCTAAGTCGTCCTCCCTGGGGTAGGGACGAAAAATGCAAGCGCGTCTATCGAAAACGGCATCAGCAGAGGGTGGTGCAGACGCCCCGATGGGATAAACACGGGGGGGTCAGTGGAACAGCAAGGGGGCATACCGCCATACACCCTGGTATCCAGATCAGCGAAGAGGACAGGCTTACAGCAGTCAACACACGGGGGCAGCAGCACAAGAACCGGATTACAACCAAGTGTGGGGCTGGGCAAAACACATGGTTGTGCAGAGAAAATACAGCAACAGTCAGAGGGAACAGCAGCACATGCACCGGGTTACAACCAAGTGTGGGACTGGGCAAAACACAAGCTTTTGTAGTGGAAACACAGCAACAGTCAAGGGGGAACAGCAGCACATGCACCGGGTTACAACCAAGTGTAGGACTGGGCAGAACACAGCGGGAAGACAGCAACAGTCAAGGGGGACCAGCAGCACATGCACCGGGTTACAACCAAGTGTGGGACCGGGCAAAACACACGGTAGTGCAGGAGAAACACAGCAAACAGTCAAGGGGGAACAGCAGCACATGCACCGGGTTACAACCAAGTGTGGGACTGGGCAAAACACATGGTTGTGCAGTGAAAA